TGCAGGCGACGAAAGTCTTTTTTATCTGTTAATAGAAGCGAAGAGGCGAGTTCCAGGATGTAGTCGCGAAGGGGGCACTGTCACTGAAACAGGAGCCTTATTAGCCCGAGTTTTCGGATTCTCATAATGAGAGACAGTCACAGAAAAGGGCGGCGGGAAGGGGGTTGGTCAGTTTTCTGTCCTCTGTGCCGTTAAAATAAGAGTCTTCGGTTCGCGTAAGGGGCACTTTGAATTCTTAAAATTAACAAAATATGCTTAAGCAATATCAATAAATTCCTAACTACCACCTGCTTATCATGCGTGCTGGTATATACTATTTCATCTCGTTCCACTTAGGAAGGCACTTTCTCACCGGCTGCCAGATAAATTAAGTAGAGTAAAATTGAATACCCAACTTTTCCAGTTTTTGATCTGTACCATGGCTTCAAGTTCCTTTGGGAACAGAACGTGTGGTACAATGTTTGCTAATAGGAAGGAAAAATAAAAGCAAAGCTGAATGGTAACGAAGCGTCCAGAAAAACTGCCCCTCCCCCCCATCAACAACCGTTAGGTGCTGTCAATACTTTTTCAATCTGTTACAGGAGCTCATGGAATAAAAGAACACTATCGTTATGTCATTTTTGAGGTATGGGCAATACTCTACTGTGTAAAAATAGCTAAGACGTAGGTTTCATTACCATTGCTGTCTTCAGTCGCTTTAACCCTGAAGGATGGTGCAGGAAGTTGCTTGTGAAGCAAACAGCAATTACAGACATGAAATATCTGAGGATATTATTAAAACACGGCTCTGGCTAAGATTATGATGCTCTGACCAGCCTAGCTTTGCTGTCAGGAAACTCGTGGTTTGCTTTTGCGTTTCTTTAACTATCCATCAGGATGCCGAGTTAAATAATCCCATATTCTAACGATTAAATAACAAGCATCAACGTTTTTCGGAACGACTGGCAATGATTTCTTTAGTGTTACGCCAAGCTCGTGTTCTTGTAGAAATTATATTCAACTAACTTACATACTAGGTACTTTAACGTGCGCTGGTAGAGTAACCCGAAGCTTTATGTCGTGGCTCATGTAGTACGTGACCCGCAGTCTCGGATCGTATAAACATCTGAGAATAGTCGATCGCTGGTGCATTTTCTCCACTCTTCAAATACGCTTATCAAACCACTTCGTTGTACTGTAAACGATATTGAGATGCAAATTCACAGCATAGTGGTACCTAGGTACTCTTTGATCGAATACTTAAAAGGGACTCCTCACGTCTTTACAAACACCCATAATTTATCCTTTCTATTCGCAACGTTTCGGAGTCAATAAGTCCGCAAACTAGCCATGCACCTTCGACATCCCCGATTCAGCTGAAAAATGCAACGCTCTGTATTCCAAAGACAGGCCCACACATGTTCACAGAGTTTATTTAGCCTTTGCACAACATCATAATGGAAGGGGCGATTCACTTTCGTATGTCCTCAAGATAAATTTCGTCAAAGTTCGTGCACCTTGCTTATCGGTAGCTTCAATCACAGTCATCGTATGTCTCTGACGCAATGATGCTGATGATGAGGGTGCCCTCATGATCCCCAAAGAAGGATTGCCAAACGTTCATCGTGCGCATTATCTCCTGTGTGTTAAGATTGTTTGTACGCATGCAAATGCTACTGTGTATGATGCCCATAGCAAGTGTTGCATATTGTACTAAATTCTGGGAAGTAGAAGACCATGAAGTACGTGAGACGAACCATAACACCCTCCATGCCATGAATTATAGTTACAATCAGTGGTCATTCTCTGTGTTTCAGACGCGCCAGGAGGCTAATTTTTGTACGCATATCTGTCTGTATGAAACCTCATCAGACAGCAGTAGTATGCTTTTTGCCATTAATTTTTGGTAGTCTCCTAAATGCACGTTTATTTTTTAGAATTGTTCAAAATTTCATTTTTT